ATATATGCACAAATTTCTGTGCAATATTAAAAAAAATTATCACTCTGCCATCATAAAAATTTAAAATAAATATTAACATATTGTATATAAATATACCTATTAACAATAGGCACAAATTATATAATTCGTTTAGAAATTAATTAATTTTATTTAAATAAAATTAAATAAATAGTTAATCAGATGGGTCGATCCAGTAGCTTCTGATTAATCAAATGCGGGCCCGGATGACCCTTTTTTCACTTTTGTATGTGCTTAACGAAGAACAATTATTACGTCTTCCGACCGGATACAGAACATCCGATTATAGACAAAATCCCGCCTTTATCAGGGTGTACCGAGTTTTTTGAAAAACTCGGTACACCTCAGTATAGGCAAGATTTTGACTACAACCGAATGTTCCTCTGCATCCTTACACCGGACCAAATAAAAGTTCGCTTAACGACATACAAAAAAATATATTATTTACAAGATTGACATCGGAGAATACGCCATCCCTTTCATCTACTAATTTGTCATGTCATGGACCACAAAAAAAAAAATTTAACTGACACGTGTAAGGGTTGGGGGCCCCGCTCTTGGTGTTATTATATGCCCGACAAACGGGACAATGCAACGGCTGGCACGTGAGTGGCTCACAGGTTAGTTGTCAGGTCAGAGCGGGTCGGGCCACTTGGGGAATAGGCCCACCTCTGCATGAAAAAGCCCAAACCAAGCAGGTCTCTACGTTCGACCATTACGAAGCCAATGGCAACTGGGCTGTCCTTCTGTTTATCTTCATATGGTCACTCACATGCAGGTCCTAAGGGCACCCACTTGGCCTTCTGTTGGGAGGCATGGAGGTTTTCTTTGTCCCTATTCTTTTTTTTTCTGTCACCTTTGAACCTGTAATCAGATCTTGTTGATAGTAATTGATTAGCTTATTTAGGTTTCATTTGAGACGTTTTTTTTACTGTTTCGTAAAACAAATTTCTAGTAAAAATCTATTTTAAGAAGAAGTAAGAAAGCCATTCCAAACGAAACTTTAATCTTCTTATAAGAGGAGAGATCAAAGAATAAGAAGATAAATGTCAAATATTGATGCTGATAAATATCAAATATCAACTATCAACAAACATTAGGTAATACAGTGTATTGTTAGTTTGTTTTGATTAGGAAGGTGATGATGGGTGAGCATATTACAGTAGAATTTAAGTGATGATGAGCGATTGCTTTGTTTATTCACTTTATATGAAGAGATATAATGCTACCCGAATGAAAAGCTTGCGTCAATTATTGATTATTGAATAGATGTCAATCATTAAAAATTGTTGCGTGCTGGGTCTTCGTACAAAGCTAAGACGTAAAACTATATATATATCTATTGTCGCGAATATTCCTGTAATATTCACGATGATAGAAAAATATATAGTTTAACGTCTTAGTTTTGCATGAAAACCCAGCACACAACAAAAATGAATCAAATGATGGTCAATAAGGATGTTAAGAGTTAGACAATCATCAGTGACTGATTGAGCCATTTTCAAATAATAGAAGATTAGATGATGAATAAAATGTGCACAAGAAATTGCTTAGTATTAGATGTAGGACAGCAATCATTAGCAAGTGCTTGACTATAGTTAGTTAGCTATGACTGCCATATTTTATTAATAGGTCTGCAACTTTATTTCCTTTGCTTGGCATATGAGCAAATAGAAACATCTGAAGCCTTATGATCTCGAATCAAATCTTATTGAAACAATTTCTTTAAATAGGTTTTGTTACCCCATGATTACAAAATACATGATATACTATGAGTTAAATGACATTATAAAATTATTAATATTAATTTATCTAAAAATAAATAAAATTTAATCTAAACACTGTTATGTTATTTAGACCTTAAAATTTTATGTAAGTAAAAATAAAAATTTAAATATTATATATACAAATTAGGAGTGCAAACGAGTCGAGTTGAGCTTGACTCGACAGAAAGAAAAAAAAAAAAAGCTCGTCGAGCTGCTCGTGAGGCATTTCGAGCTCAGTCCGTTCGTCGTTTCAGCGTCTGCATCGTCCCCAGCGTCCGCGTCGCCACCAGTTTCTCAGGTCGTCATCTTCATATGTCGCAAGCTTCTTGCGTCACCAGAGTTCGTGTCCGTCGCTAGCTTCTGTCATTTTCCCACGTGCGATTTCATTCTCCCGCACAAGATTACATTTCCCCGTTGGCGACTCGCGAGTTGAGCAGTGGGTTGTTTGAAATCAAGCTCAATAAGTTGTCGAGCTCGACTCACGAGCTCAATAAATTTAACTATCCTGTTACTGAGTCGAGCTCGAGTTAGCTCGCGAGCCAGCTTGACTCGGCTGCACCCCTAATGCTAATACATAGAACTTCACTAGTAATTGAAGAGAATACTCATTTTCATATGATTCATAGCAATAACTGTGCTGCTCATAAAAGCAAAGCCAAGAAAAAATAAATAAATATTCACTACAACACATTCAACAACAACAACAATGACATCAAGCCTTTATCCCATTACATGGTATCGGCTAGTGTTTTCTTAAGAATCAAATTTCTCATTTAAATCTAATAAAAATATCATTTTTAATATTTTCTAATAATTTTTTTTTAAATCTATTATCACCTTTCTTAACATAAGCCAAATTTAATACATCTACTCTCCTAAATCCTAACATAAGCCAATGTTCTAAATTTGCCACAACAATTTCGTGAATTTAATATTAAAATTTGGTATTTTGAAAAAAAAGAAAAGAAAAGTATTAATTCGGATCCTTTGGCCATGTGATGCAATTCAGTATCCTTTGGTAGGGTTCGGATCCCTAACAGCACACATGGTGATCAGATTTGTCATCATTTGGAATGAAATTAATAATAGGTAATATTTGATAAAAGGGATTTTTACGTGCATAACACTTAAAACTATCCTAAATACATATTCAACACCCAAACTTTTATATTTACGTATCTACCACTCAAACACATCCATTTCATCTAAATTACTGCTCCGTCTAAACGCCGTGAACAACCCACCCGCTATGACTTTCGCGCGACCAAAGCCTGGACTTCAATTTTCGGCCACCGGCTCGTCGTCGGCATTGTGGAAGAAATAAAGTCGCCGGCTTTAGCAACAATGAAGGTTTTATCTGCGCCGGCGATGGGGAAAGGTGGAAGATTGATGGTTTCTCCGGTGATCATTTCAAGGAATGAGAGAATGGCTGCTTCACGTGCGGCTGCGAGTTCACGATCGTGTGCACGAGCGACATATTCACGGCGAGCACATATAATATAATAATTGTAATGCCACCTAATGATGAAAATATTTGGTGATTTTCTTTATGAGTCAGATCTCTGATTTGATATTGATTGCTAGTTATGGAAAAAAAAAATAAAGTATATCATGATAATTTAAATGTTATTAAATTTATATTAAGATTAATGCTTATATATAATAAGATAATTTGCACTAATCTTAATATTAATTTAGGAGCATTCAAGTATGCCATGATACAAATTATATTAGAATATTTTTATGATGCACTTATATATTAGAATATTCATATATAATTTTTTTAGGCTTCATTTGATAAGAGTGCTTTAAAAAAATAACTTTTTTAAGCTGAGTAGCTTTCTAATAAAAAAAATTTTAAAAGCAAAAAAAAAATCAATTAAAAATTGAGATTGCAGTCTACAAGCAGTATGTGCAAGAAAGGACTCATTAAGGTTTTATTTAGGATGATTTTCTTATTGCTTCGTAAAGCAGCAGCTTAGTATAAAAATTAAAAAATTTATACTAAAAAATTACTTTAAGGAGCAGTAACAAAATTGTCGCCATAGAGATTTAGCGTGATTGGGCTCCTACAGAGAGCCATTATGAGGATTGGGAAGCTGCTTAAAGAGAAATGAGATCTGGAAGCCCCATGCCTTCTATATTTATTATGTTGAGAGAGAGAGAGAGAGGGAGAGGGAGAGAGAGAGTTGTGTGGCAGTTGAGTTTCCGTCTTCCTTTTACGAGCTCTTTCGAAGCATACCATCAATTGCAAGAGTAAGAGGAACAAACTCCTAAATTTAGTACTATGAACAAGTTCTTTAAGTTCACTGTCGATTGGATTCCCCTACATGAGCCTAAATGTCTTTTATCTACTAGCTATAGATACCAAGCTATGATGCACGGACACGAATATGGCGACATGGACACGACACAACACGGACACATGACACGGCTTTTTTTGAAAATATAGGACACGGGTACAGCACGAACACAATGTTACATTCAAGCTTCAACTACTTAGATTAGCTTCAGAGATTTGTTTTTGGCCTTCAATATCATCATCATTGGATATTATTGCTTCAATCTCTGGTTCATCAAGAGAAAGATTTGCAATAATTCATTTAATATAATATAATGAAAGTTGGTTCTTCTTTCTATCTATTTACTTTTCTAGTCCGCTTGTTCTCTCCCATAATATTAAATTCGCGGATAAGTATGGCCAAGTACCGATTAGCGGTTGGGAGGTCGGAGGAGGCCTTCTGCCCTGCTTGTGGATGGAGGAGTCGCGTTCTTCATTGGAGTCGAAATACGAGAGCTACAACGTTTCTTAGGGCACGCGAGTGAGATAATACCGCAGAACAATTCCCTACACCGTTTGATCGTAGATTGATGACTGAGATTTGACATATTAAGACCCATCCGATTATTCAAAAATCGCCCGGTTGGACAGTTTTCCGGTTCAACCAGTTTTTGACCGATTTTTTTGCGGTTTTATGTCCAGTCGGTTCCTTTAACAAACCGAACCGCCCCCCTGACCGGTTCACGGTTGAACCGGTCGAACCGGCCGGTCCGGTCCGATTTTAATAACCATGGTTCTACATATATATATATATATACATATATATATTAAAAGTTATTTTAAGTAATTATATAGGTGGGGACTATTTTGATTATTACAACAAAATTAGAGATGAATTTGGTACTTTTCTCAACAAAAACATGATAGCAACCTAATAATTTAAAAGGTACTTGTTTTACTAATAACTTCTGCTCGTTTAGATTCCAATATCTATGAAACATTTACAGGTAGTCTTTCTCAAAAAAGTAGGGAAACAATCCTAAGGTGTAAGCAAGCAACAAGGCTGCAGCAAGAAAATAATCACAACAGAAGTAGCTGGAATGAGAAGAGTACAGGAAAGAGATATCAGACTACACAAGATTTAGACAGAAAATCACAGTTCTTATATACCTCCAAACCTGGCTGGCCGAGTTCCTCTTCTTTGAAACAAGCACATCGCCGGCTTCTTTTGCCATTAAGAGCCATTTCAAGGGGTCTCTGCACTAGTCTCGGGTAACCAGCATCACACCATACCTAACAGAGGGTAGCATCAATGTGTTTTAATAGGAAAATATAAACAAAAATGAGGTGGCATCAAACAGTCTATGCAGTTACGCCAACTTAAAAAATAAGATTAATGCTTCGTTTGGGACGGCTTCTTTGCTGCTTTCTAAAACAATTTTCTAGCAAAAAAAATTTTTGAAATGGAAATTTTTATACTAAAAAACAGTTTTATTAAGTAGCAAAAAAAGTTGTCCCAAATGAAGCCTAAATTTTCATACTATATGCGTTTGAAGAATTATAAAAGAATTGTTCAAATTTAACCAGTATCAGACTTGAACAAAGTGCAGTATCAGAAGGCCAAAAGGACAATTATCGGATTATTTCTATTTCATATCAGATTGCAATTTCAACACGTTTGGAATTTAAACCCACAACGCACAAAATCACCAATGCTAAGTAGAGGAAGCTAAGCGAAGAGATTTTAGAATAGTAGAACTAACATTTAAAGCGAAGAGATTTTTAGCATGAGTATTCATTAAAAGAATAAAGAGCATAAACTAATGCACGCTTTCATATATAGTTAGGCAAGATAATGCATACTTCTCCTCCCTCTTCCTGGCTCCATTTTGAATTGCAACTTGGAATTTTGGCCTCTTCTATTTTCTGTTTTTCCTGAAGCCGAGCAGCTCTTTTGGCCTTAGCTTCAACCCCTTTCAAATGTTTTGTTGGGTTTCCATCCTTATCATAGTACCAACCAACAAGCTTGCCAACAAATCTGGTACCAAACAGCAAGGATAAAGATCACAAGAAAAAAGTTCAGGGACCAAGTATCCTGATAGGAAATACTTGAATATTTAAAATAAACCCTAACAAGATTGATAAAAACAACAAAATATACTCAACAATTTCAATTAAAGCAATCAAAACAGTAGATTTTATTGTAGGAATGAAATCAATGGAAGGAAAACAAAGCAAAGATACAATTGATTCTCCATTCGAGAGGAGGATCGTTCTCTCCCAAATCTCTAGATGAATTATAGAGCCCAAGACATCAAGAAAAAACTCCAAGAAAACACAATAATCAAGCATAACCCTAACCCTAGACAACTCCTATTTAATACAAACTTCCCCAATTTCAAATCTCGAAGTCAAATTTTTCCTCCCTCTCCTAGCCGCCCCTTCTTTCCCTATTGGATTGTCTGGTGGGCCCACTACGCTCGGGCGGCAATTTCCCCCCCAACGGGGGTCCGTCTCGAGAACCGGCCCTAGGTTGGGGTTGGGCCGGTTCGGCTTGAACCGGCCTAACAGATCCCACATGATTAACATGTCTCACATCTTGTAGCCAGGAAAACTCTTTTACCATGTATCATTGAAATCAATTTCCAAAAAGAAATACAGTTCAGTTTCTCTTTCTAGTAACAATTAACTGTAGTATAGTATAGCAGCTATATTTCATGAACTATTACAATGGAAAAAAATTTAATATTGGTGGTGGGAAAAATTAATGCGGAATATTTACCGAATGATAGGCTGTATTAAACCAATCTCAAATAAAGCTCATGATGATAGGATTTACCGATTTAGGACCAGGCCTCTCAAAATTGGGCTTTTGAATGATTCTCTAAAGTTTTAGCATGTCACTTAAGTTTGGGAAAGTTACAAAATAAATTCCATTCATTTTATTATCTTCATTTAAATTGTTCAGCTCTAGCTTAGTTATGATATCTAGACCTAACCTATCAAAGGCTACCTGGGAGTCAATCCATTCTTCATGTTTAACCGACCGAAGTTTGAAATTTTTTGTGCAAGAAAATCTCAGGTGCTTGTTGTACATAGAACCAAAGTCATGGTTACCCTTAAAATGTGAAGCAAAGCATTTCAACAATTATGCTTGCAGGGGATGCTTATATTAATTCAATGTAGAGAGAAAAAAAAATGATAAATTGTAGCTAAGTTCAGGGTTTGGCCACGATATTGTTTCATGACGGTCATGTTTTAAAAGCCTTTCAGCCAAGTAGCCAGATTTATTTTAAGAAAATTCATTTGGATCCACGTCACCTCATAACCTTCATCTCCATCGTTTACAGTTAATGCTTTGAAATCTGGCCATTAAACTGTCATTCTGTAGATATCTTATTTTGGTCCTTTTTCTAATCAAAATAGTCAAAGAGGCTTCTTTGACTCAAATTTAGACAAAAATATGATACTTTGATAAGAATTTAATTAAGTGGGAAATTGCCAATGGTATGGATATAGCCTGATCAAGATATCATAATCAAATCATCTCTATTGTACAAGTGGACCCAATCTGCCAACATCTAAGGGCTTTTGAGGCGTAAGGTCTCAGAAGTCTAATTAGTAATTATGGATTGTCTTCTCTCAGGCATCTTGAGCAAACTAGGGTGATGCATGTGTAAAAGAGGTGCTTTCGATGCTATCATCAACTTATTAACTAACAATGGGCTGGTTGTATCATTTTGAAGTTTAGAGGTAGTCGCGTGCAATATAGAGGTATTGATAGGTCGAAGAAGAGTTCAGACATGACATACCTATCAATTGTCCATGAGTTTCTGTTTGACTTGAAGTAGTCTAAGACACATATGTAGAGTGATTAGTGGATTGGATTTGATTGATAGGCATGTTAATGTGGGAGCTAATTGATGAGGACATCGATAGACGATATCGACGAGTTTACCAGCGAAGGAATAGTAGATGGATGGCTATGATTCACAGTCTGTATTTTTGATGCATTTCATGTATGGTAGTTTTATTTATTTGCGGGATTACGTTTGTCCATTTCTTTGAGTTTGTTTCGAGTTATAGCCCAATGGGGCATATGTGTCATTGTCTTTTATTTCTTTAGGCCTATATATTATGGGCTCCTCTATTGTATTGGATGATGATTTGATGAAATGAAATTATACTTTGTTTACTTAGTGATCTCTTTGTGAGTTCATGTGAGTGGTGAAGCCTAGGAGAGGCCAACAGAGTACCCAACAGCTCGCCGACGAGGGAGCTCTTGATTCTTTAATTTTATTGTTATTTTTCCCCTCCCTCTTTCCCCAATATCCCGCCAGACTGCTCACCCACCCACCCCCACCTCTTCTCTTCACCGCGCCCTCTCAACCCTAACAGCCGCCGGCCTTCTTGGTCCCTCAAGCCGCTGGTCATTCCCATCCCCGCCGCCATCCCCCACCAAGCCACAACTCCCTCTCTCCACTTGCTCAACCCGCTAGCCCCATCCCTAATCCACTTAATTTGAAATTCAAATTTTCCTTATTTACTTTCCTAAAATACCACCCCGCTAATTAGGAAAGAATCCATGATGAGGACATCTGCAGAAGGTTCCGACACACGTACCATCGGAGAGGTCGTCGAGCGACGGCCATGATTCAGCAGCGTTATTTTTGAGACTTTATTTTATTCATGTCATTTGTATTTCCTTTTTTTTTTCCATTTGTACCCCTATGAGGGAATTAGTGTTTGTTGTAGCCCAAGGGCAACGTCGTCTTTTATTTTCTTATGTTTGTTGAGCCTATATAAAGGCTTGATCTCTGTATTGTTGGATTATTGATTTGATTAATGAAATTTCAATGTTTGACATAAAGCTTTACACAATGATACTCATGAATTTGAAACATGAAGGAAACAAAATGCTATAAAATGCTTTACAATATAACATGAGGCTTTACCATATAACATGAAATAAACATGAAACATGAAATAACAATTGAACATGTAAGGATAGGAATTCCTACCTCAAGGCTTAGTTATCCTTTCCTTTGCAAAGCTTTACTTGTCAACAATGTTTCCTCTTGAAACCTATGGATCCAAAAGTCATAACATAAGTCTCTTGCATATTAAGATCTCTCCTAACACTCTCCCTTAAACCTACTAAGAAAAATTCCTATGGAAATTTCAGTTTTGTACCTAAAATCCCTAAGGTTGGAAACCAAATTCTTCTAATAGCATTCCAATAGCATGTTAGAACCCTTCTCTTTCCTAATTATAAGATTAATACTCTTAATTTTCGGATTAGCAAAATTAGGAAATTAGGAAAATATTTTTTTCTTTTCCGAAATCTCATTTTCTTTAATTTAGAGGCCTCCTAAAGACATTGGAAACAATATATGTAAAGGTCTCTACACAAAAACTAACATTTTGGAGAAACCCTAGATTTGCCCTAAAATCCAAAACTCAAAAGAATTCAACGAAACTTCATTTCCACCGTTAAAACTTCGTTCTAAAGCTATCCTATTAATTTCATTCAAAAATTCTAAGTTTTGAGAAAGCCCTAAAATTTTACCTTGAGAAAAACTAGGGAAAAGTGAGGGATTTTTGCATGAAACTCTTACCTTAAGTCTTCCCCTTGCTTTCCCTAAAGGAACCTCGCCGGAAAAGCCGCCGGCCGCCTCTTGGAAGGAGCTCCCGCCGCTTCCTCCTCTCTCCCGTCGCCCTCTCTCTTCGGTCGGCCGAAAGAAATGACAAGGGACCGAATGAATCGGTCCCTAGGCGGTTGTGGGCTTAAGGAAAAATGTTTAAAGGCTTAAGACGCATGTGCCCTTCTCCCTAAAGTTTTTCTTAAAGGCTCTAAGGGTAAAATCGGAAGTTTACCAAAAATTTTACTTAAACTATCTTCATTGATTTTTAATTTTCAAATCGAGCAAAATTTGGTATGGGTTCTTTATACCGTTTCGATTGAAATTTCGAAACGAATCTAATGAAATTTATTTCGTCAATTTCCGACGATATCGAAATTTCACTTAAGTTCGTCGCGGCGCATTGATATGCGTGTGACGCACTCAAATGATGAATTTCGGGTTTTACATTCCTCTCCTTCCCTACGGATCTACGGCACCGTCGCCCTCGGAGTGGTTTCATCACTTGTGTGGTTATTCTTCTTCCAACAAACCTAGAAGTAGGTAAATGAGCGTAGCCTCAAGGTGAGACAATCGCTTTGTTAACCATCGGATTCTAGTTGGCTTTTCATTTGCTTTACTATTTATTACCGTCGTTATTTTATAGATCTTGCTAATTTAGGTGTAAACTCTTGCCTAAGCGTAGTTGAATTCTAAGATCTTTGAGAAGCTTCAATTGTGAACAACATTAAGATTGCAATTTCACTATTTGAACAAGAGTTTTATTAATTTTCTAAATCTAATTCCTGGTATCACATCAATCCATCTTTGAATTCAATCAATTTTGAATTTCAAATTTCTTCCTCTGAGCTAAACCCCCATTAGGAAGCTGTCCTAATTTAAATCAAATCTGAGAATTAAAAAAAATCTGATTTGATTTCAATCACATTAATTCCATTGGGATCACATACATTGAATCTAGACAATTTCCCCACTCTTCCTATGGCCGGCCCCCCTTCCCCTTGCTTTTCTCTCTCCAAGTCAATTTAAAACCTCAATTAATGCTCCCCTAATCCTCTCCTAAAACCGCCAGCCCCCATAGCAATAATTTGGGGTATTTAGAATTCGAATTAATTTTCCCTCCCTTTCTATTTAGAAAATCTGAAATTAAAAATCAGAATTTTCTAAATTGTTTCTCCACCACTCAACCAACCCACAATGCCTCCACCTCACCTAGCCCAAGCCACCCCTCCCACTTGTCTCTTTCCACCGGAAACACAACAATTCTTATGTCTTTGGAAGCCAAAAGAAGAAGACAAGATCCTCCCTCCTCCTCCTCAATAGTGCATGGCCGATCCTGAGATCGACCACGGCTTTGCCTACAACGCGCAAGGGGAAATCAACATCCTCCGTTCTCCATTCTACAAACCGGATTGGGAGTACGACGACTCGGTGGAAAGCTACGTCAACCGCATCATCTATTGCCTCGCCGAGACGATCGAGATTCAACAACCCAAAGCCCCTTTGGCTCCTCAATGGACGACCCACGCCTCCACCGACGGCTACCTTTCCAAAAACAAAGTTCCTTGGTTCCCTTCTCTTAGTGGTGATTTCAAGTTTAGTGTGGAGTATCTTCATCCGCTAAACCTTAGAGCAGTTGAGTGAGAAATCCCTCAAGGTGAACCTCTCATTATTAAATTACGGATTTCTGTTATAAGCTATGAACGTTACTCTTTCCTTTGTATCTGATTAAAAACATCTTGGTTAATCTACGTGTACTTCTTTGCCTAAGCAAGTTGAAAACTACGAATCCCTAAAATCTTTCTTTGTTTTGAAGCATAATTTTATATTGGAGAACTTTTAACAATTGCTCTTACTAATTTCTCGTGAACTCCTGGTTGTTCCACATCACTAATCCAAGTCTAGTTTTGGCTTACATCCTTAGGAAAGCCCAAGAATTAACTTGATTTGATGTGCTTGTTTACTTTGTGTCGACCTTAATTAATAAGGATTAGGCTCACATCCATTACAAAATCCATATGCTGGTAAAAAATGGATCATATAGTCTTATCCTATAAATAAGGAGGCCCGATTGATTAGATTCTTTTGATAGACTTTTTTGAATTTATGTTGATCTAATTAATTAAGATAGAGAATTACATTTCTTGGAAGTCTCATAAAGACTTACAACTTCGAGGATGAGGAAAGCCCATGAAGAAAACTTGCTTTGAATCATAATTTTGAATTTTGATAAGAGCGATAACTTTATTTATTGGCGATAACCTTGTAACCCTAGGTAAAGAATAGTCAAATATTGTTCTCATTCTAAACTTAGAGCGACTCGAAAGAATATGTTCCATCATAACATACTATAGACAAAAGGTCCCATATAATTGGTATTACGACCTTCCCTTTTATGAAATACAGTTAGATTAGTTGCACCAGCTTAAATGAGCTTATTTCTTTTGTTATCTAAACTGTGAGGCTTACTCAATTTTTGAGGGCGTACTCAATTTTTTTGTTGGGGAGGCAGCCAGTAGCCAAACCCATCACCAACACATCTTAAGGTGGATAGCAATCAGAATAAAAGATGGCTGGGAAGAGAGAGAAGGGAAAAGGAGAGCAGGCAAGCACCGCAACCAGAAGCATCAGCCATAAAATCTTGGAACTGCTTGCAGAATGAGAGATTTGGGGTGGAAAGAAGAAATGTAGTGCATTTTGTTTTAGTCTCATATACACTGGACAGCATTTTTAATACTATATGGACAAAAGGTAACACATAAGTGACCGAAATTAAAGGTCTAGGGAACACAACAACCTAAATGAAATATTTTTCTACAACATATACGCACAGGAAAGACCCCACTAACATCAAGGATCTAGATGCAATTGTCCTCTAAGCTGCCCAAAATGATGCCGGGCCCTTTGGTAGTAATAGTGAAATTCTGAAAGTAATTAATGATGATATAGTTATTATTACGCCCAAACTCACAGGTCTTTGGTGATATACAACCTCAGAAAGAGGAGCAGGATTGCGGTAACTTACGTGTATCTTTCAAAATAAAACTTCCTCCAGTCAACAACACTGCTTATCTACAAAAAAAAAAGAGCAAAATGAACCTGTTAAGAATTGTACTTATAATTATTCACCATTCAAGGACAAAAAGAAATAAAATTAACATGAAATTAAAATAAGGGAAATTATTTTTAGGAAGACGAAGAAAATTAAATTGAGAAAAATACAGTAGCTCAATTGAAACGTTCATTTGAGTAACAATTTTGCTTGCAAAAATTATGCATGACGCTTCTGGTAAAGACTGTCTGAAAGACAATGCATCTTTCTTTCTACTTATGAAATTTTTTTAAAGACTGTCTGAAAATAATTTCAAAAGCGACTTAACTTTTCTTTATAGTTTTTCAACAACAAATACTAGTAGTCTGCATTACCTCTACACCTGAGAGACCTTGAAGTGAATCGGTTAAACCATCGCCTGCAACATAAAGATGATGTTTACAATATAATAAGGTTGTATTTTTCAGACTCCAGGATTACAAAAAAGTCACTAAAACAGCATCAGGATTAAGAGAATCATATAACATCATTAGAGAGGCATGCAGGTGTCTCGCCTAATTTGGATAAATGAAGACTTCAAATGATTAAAAGAAAAGAATTACTATAACATGAACGGAACAGACATATTATCTACGCATTAAAGTAAATCTTACCCTCTTATTGCGAATAAAGGTTGAATGATATCTAGCTGGCAGCAATTAATATTAGAGAAAAAAAAAGATAGAAACAATATTACTTTTAGAATTATGGAGGATTAAAAACATTGAAGCTTTTTTTTGGGCTGTTCATAAGTTGAAGAATTTTCTGTGAAAGCATACAGAAGGAAATGTATGTCACATGGCCGAACTATTATGAGAGAAAGGAGACTATTAGTTCTATTAGAGAAGTGAAACACGGCAAAATGGAGAATTTTAAAACTGTTACAATAAGACTGCAGAGTTAACAAAAAATGAGTGTACAATGAAAGAGACTACGAATTCTACCTATATGATTAAATAATGAAATCCTGATCGAGGCTTAACTCTATAAAAGAAGTTGGTGTCATTATAAACTTTTTAGCTTTAGTTGAATCAATGATAATTTATTTTTCTATCACGTATAAATCATTCTGGACTAGAACATCATTAATCTGCAATAATTACATCTTATCATCAGAAGAGAAACTTTTGGAAACCTGAGGTGATGCAAGGTGAGATCCGCATATTTACACTCATTTGAAGCATCGAGCAAATAAATAATTTGAGTAAATTTTCTTTAATTTTTTTTATTTAGTAGGATTTTATTTTGTAGTTATAAATTTCTGTTTTATGGAACGAGCCTATGATAAATATTCATGAGGGGATTTGTTTTCTATTAATTTGATTCCTAGTAATATGACGGTTTATATGATTTGGCATGGACTTGAGTTTAGTCCTGTTGTGGTTGTTCAAATTTTTTGGGTCAATTCAGAACAAGAATTTGATAAATGTAGGGAGATTTTCTGACTTTTCAAGAGTAGGATAGACAGCAAACCTTCATGATTAAATCATCTTCTAATTCATTCGAAGTAATATGCGCCATAAGATGATCCATATTATGATGGTTACATCAAGTGTATTATATTTACCACTCTTTGGAGTATAGTGTTTTGAAGCTTGGGCAATTAATGCAGACTGAGTTTTGAAATTTTATTTCATAAGGGATGTTAGAGTTATTTCATTTATTTAGATTTAATTATTTTATTAGAATTCTTCTAGTTAATCTCATTAAATGTAGTGAAAAATTGTTACCTTATTAGCAATTTTTAGCCATTTGTTAGTTGATTAGGGATTTTTCCAAAACATAATTTTATAACAAAAAAAATGATTTCAGTACAACACTAGGCAATTCAATAATTGCCCAAGCAAAAAGAAAATACATAAGAAAATTAAAGATAACATGTTTGCCAAAGAAATTTCTTTAGAAGACAAAAAAAAGACTATATATATTCTCATTTGAATGCCTAGTTTATATTATCACTTAAATACGGGAACAAGATACAAGTGATCTACGGTTAGAGAGGTAGACCGGCTCTCCCAAACAACCTAGATGCCGCTAGGAAGCCCCCAAAGAAAAGAACTATAGCAAAATATAAAACTTCACAATAACATACCCTAAAACATAGACAAACTCCCCTTAAATAGCCCTAGAACACTATAAAACAAATAAAACATTCCAAATAACAACCTCAGAACTCCTTTTGAGGTTGTTAGTGTAGTGGACTTGTTGTCTATGATGTTTGTAGATATCAGAACTGTTTTCTTCCTGAGTATAGAATCAAGAAGGAATTTTGGAACACCAGGAAATTTAGTTCTAATTTGTTCAAACATCTTTTCCATTCTGCCAGGAGGTGTCCCTTTTTGTACATCGAGTTGCTTTTGTACCCGACATACCCATAGATCTTAGTCACAATTGTCGTAGGTGATATTTGTAATTGTGTCCACAATGGTTCGTTGTTCTTACGATATACACATTGTTGTTATCCACAAGCAGTTCGTATGCATTTGTAGGAGAAACCCTGTATTCACTATGATTTCTTAGAAATGTTCGTAGGAGGGCCATTTGCATCAGTATCATATCCACCTTCACCAATCTCAGGTGGTTTTGCGTGCTTGTGTGTATTTGCAAAGGACCGTTGTATCCACTATGACCTCCTGAAAGTGTTTGTGGAAGACCCATTGTTTCTGCATCATATCCACCTTTCACCAATCTCAGGTGGGTCGGTGATCATATTTTCTTGTAAGGGCGGTCCTTTGATTGCTGATCTCCAGTATTTCCATCTCAATCAACAGGCCTTGATACTTGTGTTGGAGATTCCAATGGTGCATATGGGAGGGACGCCCATGCATTTCATTCTTGCAGGTACGATGCACCCAATCTCGTAGAGACTGTTGTAAGAGTCCACTACATTCTTTGCTTGCAAGCATTGAGGTCTTGTAGTTTGAGTTTCCTCGTGTGTGATTCAAGTTTTGTTCTTTACACTCGTTTGAGTCCAAGTTCAGTTTCATTCACACTTGAATTCATCGAGTTTACAAGTCCCACTCGACGTTGTACAGTTCGAGTTCAAGTGCTCGTCCAGTGTTCAAGTTTAAGATCTTCTGAAGTCCTTGCAAGTTCAATTGTATGTTCGAATTGATTTGGATTTGACTTCAGTTCTGGCTTGATTTTATTTTATTTGGTTCAGGCCTTTATTAATCATTTGAGTTTGTTCAGGTTCAAGTCCACAAGACCTCTGCTCATTCGAGTCCAAATCTTTGTTCTTTTTGAATTCAAAACAGGTCCAGTGTAGTAACATTTCACCCGAAATTTCGGCAGCCTCCCGGCGTCTCCCCTGTTTAGGGGAAAACTACGAGAAATTGGGCCTTCCCACCACGCGCAATAAAGGCGTGTATTGTAGGTGTCCTCGGACGAGGGCACCGCGGCCGTGATTTTTCTTCTCACCACGCGCAATAAAGGCTTGTATGGGGTCTTCGGTACCTGTTTAAAAAGGCAGTTTTCTTTCCCCCCGCTCGAAGGTACTTATGAGTGACCCTATCTAGTCGTAGGTGCCGCACCGGGGTCCCATCCCACCACGCGCAATAAAGGCGTGTATAGTCGATTTTCCGGTCCGTCGCATACAACGAAATCAAGAATCTGAGTTTAGAAGATCTGTACCTTCGCGGGCTTGACGGTGGAGGCTCGTGGACCGAGGCAAGGAGAGGGAGGCAAGGAAGCATTTATTATTATTCTTTATTATAATTTATATTAATAATAATAATAATTAATTATTATTGATAATTAATCACTAATTGACAATTAATTATAATTAATAAACTAATTATAATTAATTTGAAATTAATTATAATCAACTAAATAATTGTAATTAAAAATTAACTAATAATTATCAATTAACTATAATTAGATAATTAATTATTATAATAATTAAATAATTATTTAATATAATTAATAATTTCTTTTTATTCGGCGAGGGAGTTTTAACTGAATAAATTCCGAGGTAAATTTTGGAAGGCAGATGGGTTTGTAGATAAGACACTACCCAGAGATTTCGCCCTCATTTTGTGAGGATTTTATGATCTGAGTTCTGGTTTTCTATAGGCGCAAGCCCCTATAGTTAATTACCCCTCCCGATCATGAGAGAGAACTTTCGATTAAGGCTAGTCGTCAATCAGATATGTATAGAATACGTGTTATCTGGCATATTGTAGCAGGAATGGATTTGGATTTGGAATGTTTGGAAGTTTGGGAATTTGGGCATATTTGATATTTAAAATAGGGATTTTCACCATCTTGAACTTAAAGCGGATGGTGGGGGAATGAATGATAGACCCGATCAAGATCCCATGGTTCCGTTGTCCCGGACCATCGTGGTTCCCGGTCTACTTAGTCAGAGGAGGTAGTCGACCCAACCTGACAGAAGGATCCTTATCGGCAGCCATGGGTTGCTTCGTCCAAGGGGACCTTGTAGACCTGGGATGGATATTTGCCTAGGGGGCAAATTTAAATCCACCTTAGCTAACAGAGGGCTTTGTGCCCTATCAATCATATCCTATTGATTCATATCTCAAGGATTTAACGCCATTAAGGAGCGTATTGGCTCTGGCCATAACCGCTATCTGTGGTGCCATTTGACAGCAAAACCACTCGGTTCAGAGGGCCCCGAGTCATAACCGTTTACCTGCAGTACCATTTGGCGGCGAAACTGCCGGTTAGAGGACACGTACCACGTCCTTATTGGAAAGAGATTGTTTGAGAATGGATCCTAGTGATATTTTCGACCAGGCATTATCTTTTTGAGAACTGAAGTGTTTTTCAATTTGTCCACCCCGACAGACTGTTGCGGAGGGTGGATGAATTTTGCTTTAAGCATTTGATGGTTGGATTTCAAATTTTAAATATTTGGACTTTGAAATTTATTGGATTTTGGCATCGTGGGTGGAGTTTGGAAGACATTTGGATATTTGGAGGATATTTGAAAATATTTGGGAACCCCTCCGGTTGAGATTAACATTCAACACGGCCATCATCGGGGTGTTCGGGGTCATTTCTTTTTATGGATTGAACCCTGTCAACTCGACCAAGCTATTGATCGAGAATCGGATTTCGTAGGCTTCATGCCTTTATTAGTGAATTCATATTGTTGTAGGCCTTGAAGGCCTGATATGAATGTTTTAAAGCAAATATACCGGTCGCCGCAACTTTATATTTGCTTAATGGTTCGAACCCTGTCAACTTCTATTGACCCGTATAGAAGGATCGGTTTCGAACTTGAATTCACTTGTCAACCCGCGCAGCATCACTAGACGTCACGTGTGTACCAATAACACGCTCGTCGAGGCCCATGCGGGTGTTTGGGGGCATTTTATAATTGAACCCTGTCCGCTCCTTTTTACCTGCTAAGGA